AAGAAAGAAAGAAAGAAAGAAAGAAAGAAAGAAAGAAAGAAAGAAAGAAAGAAATGCACTTGTGAAACAGAGTTGTCTTATAAGCAGCCAGAGAAGCTCACACAGTACACCTTCAAACTGTACCCCAGGTGGGTTGTGCTACAAAGTGCCAAAAAAATATAAAATCTTTCTAGACTGTATTCTGCCATGTCTTCTGATCATTTTCACTCTCCATTCTAGGAGCAGCCATGTGAGACAATCACACAAGTGTGATTTGCTATGACAACTTTCTCCCTACAGGAACCACAGGGAAAAGGTGTCTCAGTGTTGTTAACACTTTCTCTAGGTATCTTTTCTACATTCTATGGCATACACACTTCTAGGTACACTACAGAATCAAAAATATCACTTGTGCCTTGAAGGCAGGCCCACATTTCATCTACTGAATTTCATCCTACTTCAAAACCAGAACAATGTTTGGTATACAACAGGTACTTAGTAAGTATGTGCTGCATGAATAAGCTACAAATTTGAGAAAATGACAAATTCAATAAAACGCATTACAGACTTTGCTCCCAAAGAAATTTACTTGTAAATAATGAGCATTTAAAACATGAATTAGTAGGGGTGCCTGGGTGGCTCAGTTGGTTAAGCGTCCGACTTCGGCTCAGGTCATGATCTCGCAGTTCGTGGGTTCGAGCCCCGCGTCAGAGCCTGGAGCCTGCTTCAGATTCTGTGTCTCCCTCTCTCTCTGCCCCTTCCCTGCTCACTCTGTCTCTCTCTCTCTCTCTCAGAAATAAATAAAACATTTAAAACAGGAATTAGTAATATATATGTTTTTTAAAATTACCTAATGACTCAAAGTTCACTAAAATTTCATGCTTAGGAGAGGATAAATACCTCCCTACATCAAGCTTTTGAATACCGACAGCCCAAAGCTCAGATGCCCTTCCCCTGGTGAGGAGGGGAAAGAAAGTCCAGCCTGTCACAGTTTCTGTCCCTTGGTTCTCAAAAAAAAGAAAGAAAGAAAGAAAGAAAAGCCATGGAGAAGTAAGACCAACTGGTAATTTTATGAATGCATGGTACAAACATTTCATTCTTACGACTTTAGTCTTTTAAGAAATTCTACTTGATATTTAGAGACAATATCATTACCTAAAGTCACAAGTGTTAAGAAGAGATTAATAAATGATTGTTTAAATACTAAAACAACAATAAATCATTTACACAGAGACTACTGCCAATCCTCAATCCCCAGGCATCTAATAAGCTTAGTTTTAGCACAAAAAGATTAAAACAATTTGTTCATGTTTATACCATCTTTTCAAACTGGTTCTTGTTGGTAAAAAATGATAATGACCAAAATACTTAATGAACCAATTTGTAAATCTGCTCTACAACAACACGAGTCTCTAAGATGACAAAGCCTTCTACTTTTTAATAAATACTTATACTTAATGCATATTAATATTATTAAAATATAAGTTCATGGTCATTGACACATTTAAATATAGTATTAAATTAGACGCAGCTAAGCTGATTACGTATTAAATCAGACCTAGCTAAGTTAATTAATGCTAAACGGATCTTTCTGAAAGGGCAGTTAGTCATGGGATATTTAATTTTACATACCCCAGTTGTTTGGGGACTTTTTTCCTTGGTTTCTTCTCCTTTTCCCCTTCCTCTTTCCTCTTTCGCTTCTTCATCTCAATATCATCTTCTTTTATTTTGGGAATCTGCAAATGATAAAAGAAAGTTATCACTTAACAAAGTATCAGTGCTTTACTCTTTGGTGTTAGCAATCCAGCATCCAGGGCAGTGTTTCTTCCTCAAAGTTCAGTGTGGATGAGAAGTGTTTGTTAAAAATGCAGACTCTTGCAGTCTATGAGCACTACTTGTTTTTGTTTTTGAGCAGTGCCTGGTTAAAAAAAATTTTTTTTTAATCTTAATTTATTTTTGAGAGAGAGACAGAATGCAAGCAGGGGAGGGACACAGAGAGAGGGAAGCACAGAAACCGAAGCAGGCTCCCAGCCCTGAGCTGTCAGCACAGAGTCCAACTGGGGCTCAAACTCACAAGCTGAGATCATGAACTGATCTTCAGCTGAGCTGAAGTGGGACGCTTAACAAACTGAGCCACCCAGGCGCCCCTATGCTGCCTGATTTTTAACAAACATTCTCGTGATTCTGGTACAATTAAGTGTCTGGATCACACTTCAAGAAACACCTAAGGACACTCTATTCACTTCCTAATCTATATATATTATATAGAATTAGCCATCTCAGGAAACCTAATGTCTAATCCAAGTCTTAACTTATCCCAGAAACTTACCCTTATCCCCAAAACAGTAGATTATTAGATCACATATGGAGAGAGAAGTCTTAAAAGAAAATACAATTCTACTATGATGTAAATATCAATTTCCCCGTATCTACATAATTTTACTTTAAAGCAGGTAAATAACTACAGATTCATAAAACAAAGGTTAACATTTTACTTTTCCTTATATTCTCAAGTAAATTAAAAAAGTATACCATATTAATTGAATAGTCACTACTGTTGCAGTGTTGGATAAACTCACTTTGGGTGGCTTGTGCTTTTGGTTGTCTGTGATATCTTCTTCTTCAGTATCTGAAGCTTGGCGAAACTGCAGGGTGCCAGTGTTGATGTAAAAGCCTCCATATTTTGTCGTTAGAGAAGCAGGAACTAATTCATCATACTATATTTAAAATAAAATGTTTCAGATACATCCCATTATTAATTCTACAAATATATCAAAGAAATTCAGTCACTATGTCAGCATCCTTCCTTAAATCCTAACTACAAAAAATGACTGCAATGAGGATGTTTGTGGAATAAATTTAGAAAAAGTTAGTATCTAGGATAAAAATGAGCCCAAAGTACTCAGTATATATGAAGAGGAAATTCTGGAATAATGAGGCAAATTCTAAATATATCTATCATCTGTTGAGAAAAATTTAAGGATCACTGCTACTATTCTTAATGACAAATTTTTTTCCAAACCTTTATTTATTTTTTAAGTGATCTCTACCCGCAACGTGGGGCTCGAACTCACCACCCAGAGATCAAGAGTCGTTATGCTCGGGAAACCTGGGTAGCTCAGTCAGTTGCGTGTCCGACTTCAGCTCAAGTCATGATCTCGCAGTCTGTGGGTTCAAGCTTCAAGTCGGGCTCTGTGCTGACAGCTCAGAGCCTGGAGCCTACCTCTGATTCTGTATCTCCCTCTCTCTCTGTCCCTTCCCGCGTGCGCTCTCTCTCTCAAAAATAAATGAACATTTAAAAAAAAAAAAGAGTTATATGCTCTACTGACTGAGCCAGCCAGGTGTCCCAAAGACAAATGATTCTGATAACAAATTGAAACAAGTTAAAACAGATGACTAAATGTCCAGAAAAGGAAAAAATTTCATATCCTACCATGTCTGTATATAATTTTATTCATAAGATTACAAAGAATAACAAAGTTATTTCTTCTGTCTTAGCTCTTTTTTTAAAAAAAATTTTTTACTGTTTTATTTTATTTTTGAGAGAGAGGCAGAGACAGAGAGACAGAGCATGAACAGGGAGGGGAGAGAAAGAGAGGGAGACACAGAAACTGAAGCAGGCTCCAGGCTCTGAGCTGTCAGCACAGAGCCAGACGCAGGGCTTGAACGTATGAACCGTGAGATAATGACCTGAGCCAAAGTCGGACGCTTAACCGACTGAGCCACCCAGGCACCCTGCTCTAAGCTTTTAAATAAAGAAAACTGAAGTCTTTAACACAAAAAATAGCATAAGTGTTTAAAAAGGCAATAGAAAAATAACTGCCCAGTTCAGTAAGCATATACTATAATGAGCCAGGTACTTTGCCTGGATCAAGAGAGGCAAATTGTCTAAATTAGATTGAAGGTCTGACCTAAATAACACTTAAGCTGATGTCCTGTAAGCTTGGATTTTTAAAGTTTATCATTTCTCACTTGATGAAAATGGGAAAAAGCAAACATTAAATGAAGGTCAATCTTGACCAAATGATGGAGTCCACAGAGGTTGAGAAAAAAGGAGCTACTTATCTAACAGAAGCAAGATACCTGCTACCTGAGGTCCCCAGAGCTTTACTTTATATGTTCTTCATATTTATATTTTTTAGAAAGGCAGATTTTAAGCAAATCCTTTGCCATGGACAAGGAATACAGAGAATGTACTAGTTACTGTAAGAATATTAAAGCTACATGCAAAAGTTTTGCTTTTAACCTGTATCCCTTTAAATTAAACGGTAAATAGAAAAAGAATTTCCAGTTTAATAATACTGAGTCAAAAAAAGGAATGAATTCTTTTCCTGTTGCTTCACTTGATGAGCTACTATAAAGATCTATGGGTAAGACCTTCAGAAAGGGTCCAGTATATCTGTAAGCAAAGAAGTGAAGAATAAGAATTAAAAGTGAAATGACTCTGTAGTAACTGTTTTGGAAATGTGCATATCTGTACTTTTTGCTAACACTGCTTTCTAATTTACAATGCTTCTTCATATAAATTATTTCACTTGGTCCTCCTGATACCTCTGTGAGGCAAAAAAGACATTTTATAAGTGAAAACCGAATTCAGAGAGGATAGGAACCCCCAGAAACTTTATAAGCCTATGGTAGAAGCTCTGGCTATATCCCGAACTATTGACTACATCATGCAGTTTCTGTGATGGGAAACACATTCATCACGTTACAGAGCAACATGGGTGTGTTCACTATCTGTGTGTGACAGTGTTTACCAAGCTCTCCCTATTGGAACACACTATAGGAGAACAAGCTCTTTATGCATATTTAATTTAGCTGTCCAAGTAGAATGTGTTAGGAGGTAATGGAACGCTGAACTTGAGAATCAGAGGCCTGGATTTAGGTCCTTTGCCAATGACAAGCAATTGTGACCCAGAGGAAATCACTAAACATGGATACCTTGAGGCTGTCTAACAGCGACAACATCACTTACTTCACAAAGTTCTAGTGAAATTCAAAAGAGACAAACTAAATAAAAATGTTATTCATGCCTCATATTATTATTTATTAGTAAATAAAGAAAAACATTTTCTTTCAGTCTTTACAAAATGTGGCAGCATAAGTTCGACTAAAAATAATCTTTAAAAGCATTTATTTTCAGGTATTTATAGTAATAAGAGGTACATGATTCTGAAAATTAATTAGAACCAGATTATTTTCACTATCAAATAATTACAAATAGTGAAAGCTTACAATCGATGAAAAGAACAGAAAATCATTTGGTTGGATAATAATTGTCTTATGTCTGAAGTATCTCATAAAAAGAACCCAATAATCTGTTAAGAACAACACATTATTTTACGACTCAATAAACAACCTGTATTCTAGTTTAATTTCCTCTTACTGAACAGGAACCTACCTTGTCCTCTAATGTCAACAACTAATTACATGTTTTTGTACAACTTATACATACAAAACTTACCCTTATTTATTAAGGCAGTACTTTCCAAATTTTCTTCACCACAGCCAAGAGGGAAATATGTTACACATCAAGTCGCATTGCGTGTGCGCACGCACGCACACACGCGCGCACACACACACACACACACCCCTCACATCATCTACTATGATTTACTATGATAGCTCCTATTCTATTCTACTTCATTTTTGTTAAGAATGCTGGCCACACTCTCTAAATTGATATGTAATCCAATTATGGGTTGCAAAAGTCAGTCTGAAAAACATCCTATTCAAATATTCTGACAATAGCACAGAAAACTGAGCAATGCTAAAAGATTTACTTAGAAATGTTTAGAAACTGAGTCGAGTCTAGAATCTAGGAATTATGACTTGTATTTCAAATCAAGGTCAAGACTCTTAAAAACATCCCATGCCCTAAACTACAGAAAGGTTTGTCAACCTTTCTGGTGACAAGAAGGCTTCTCTACTCCAAAAGGCATTGTCCATATTTACTCCTCTAGAACAGGCTGCCCGGTGTGGTAAACCGGCTTATGTTAGCGCACGGAAACAACTCAGGGTATCCAGTACGCCTCCTGCTGGAACTTCTATCATCCTCCTACCACTACATGCCTGTCATCATCATCTATACAACCAAGCACTGGAGTAACACAAAAAAGAAATACTAATTTGTGGGTAGTACTACAATGATAACCTCTGTGTCACTTTCTGTGTATTCTAAGTAATCACTGCACAATGCAGAGGATACCATAAGTCCAGGGTTTATTTAGTAGATTTCTCTAGTGCACTGAAAAGAACATAAGGACATATACCTTACCTACCCCCAAACACAATATGCCTTCATGCATTTGCTATGTGATCAATGGATTGCTATAGTCCTTAAATGCTCTCCTAAATTCCTCATTTTATAAAAGAAAGAGGATTCCAGGGGAAAAGCTGTAAGGCTTGGAACAAAACAGATGGGGGATAAAGGCTGGCATTCAATCACTACCACTGTAGTAAGGCTTGACAGCAATGAAAAAATGAAGTACATTTTAAAGATGTCTGCCAGATTAACTTCAACCCAGCAGCTCCAATCTTCAAGTTCATATGGTTCTTATCTGGAAGCCATTTGAAATTACACCTGCCCAAGTCTGGGAATATCAATACAAATTCAAGATGTAAATACCCTTAATGAATAAATCCCACTGCTAGAAATTTATCCTATACATACATTTGCACTCTCTAATTATCTTATATAGTTACTCAAGAACACAAAGATAAACGTACACAGATGCTCAGCTGTTCATAAGCACAAAGAAGTGGAACAATTTAGATGAACACCAATAGGGGATTAGTTAGTAAAAACAAAATACTGAACTATTTTAGTAACTTTATCCTTGACTTCTATCCCAAACAAAGAATTGCTGCTATATTAAAGATACATTACTCACAGCCTCTGAGTTATCAATAAATGGATCTGTCTCATCATAGCCAAAGCCTATATCAATTAAATCTTGTAGCCGATCCTTCCGGTGTTTACGGGGTTTCCCACCCTGCAAAGAACAGATATGTTAGACTGATATCAGTACTCATGCCGTTTCCATAAACTTAAAAAATACCTGTCAGAAGATTTCTAAATAGTTTCTGTAGATAATTCCTCCTCCAAGAGGTTGAACTGAAATCCCCCCAACACTTTGAATATAAGTTGTGCTGAGGGACTTGCTCCCAAGGAATAAAGTATGAAAGTGAGGGGACAAATTAACTTTATAATGAAAACCTGGCCATCATGACCTCAGCCAGGTGATCAAGTTCAACATCAACATGGTAAGTCATGTTGACAGCACATACCCTTGATATGATATGATAAAAATGGCACCTCTGTGGTCTTCTCTCAAAAGCCTGTAACCCAGCTATAGGTTAACTGTGAGGAAAACACCAAACAAACTAATCATGAGAAAAAACATCAGGCAAACTAAATTAACAAACATTCTACAAATAGCTGACCAGTATTCCTCAGAGCTATGAAGGTAAAACAAGGGAAAATCTGAAAAACTGTCAGAGTTTAGATGAGTCTAAGGAGACATAATGACTACATATGATGCAGTATCCTGGATGGGATCCTAGTGCCTAAAAAAAGGCACTAGGGGAAAACTAATAAAATCTGAATAAAATGGAGCTTAATTAATAGTAATATAGCACAGTTGGTTTGTTAGCTGTAACAAATCCACTGTACAGATATCATCGATCATAATATGTCATAGGAGAGAGTGGGTGAGAACTATATGGGAAGCCTCTGTATTATCTTTGCAACTTTTCTGTAAATCCAAACTACTCTTACTATTATTTTTTTAAACGCCACAGGATTACACACATTGGACATACAGGAAAATGAAACATGAGTGCATGCAAAAACTGGCAAGTGTGAATAAGGACTGAAGTCTAGTTAATTGTATTGTGCCAAGGTCAATCTTCTAGTCTTGATAACTAAGTTATTTAAGATATTACCACTGGGAGAAATTGGGTGATTGGTACAAGGAACCTCTCTGTTCTGTGTGTGCAACTTCATGTGAGTCTACAATCTCTTTAAATAAAAAGTGCTTTAGGGGCACCTGGCTGGCTCAGTCAGTACAGTGAATGACTCTTGTTTGGGTTTTCTTTGTTGTTTTATTTGAGAGACAGAGAGGGAGAGAGAATCTGAAGCGAGGTCTGTGCTGACAGCAGTGAACCCGGTGTGGGGCTTTAACTTAAGAACCGCAAGATCATGACCTGAGCCCAAGTCTGTTGCTCAACCAGCTAAGCCACCCAGGAGCCCAGAGCGTGTGACTCTTAATCTCTGGGTTGTGAGTTCGAGCCCCACTTTAGGTATAGAGATTATGTAAATTGACAAAAAAAAAAAAAAACACAATTTTTTTCTTAAAAGAAAAAAAGTTTTTTAAAAAGTAAAACAACAACAAAATAAAAAGAACCAGTTAGTATACATTCCATTATTCATGTCATACTTTCAGGAGACTTTTACCTGGTTGATTACAGTTACAAAGAACACATTCTAACCGGGGTATAAATGGTACATGTATGCTAAAAGGAATAGATAAGCTTATTTTAAGTTAAGTGGACAGGAAACCTATTATTATTGTAGCACTACTAAAACAGTGGTTAGTCTCCAAGACTCATTTTAGATGTTCAACCATACTCACTCAAATTTAACTGTACTTTCTAAGTATCATCGTCACACCTCTGTGACCCCTGATTTTTTTGGTGAAGTGGGTCATGGACAAGAAGATGCTAACAAAGAGGAGAGAAAACACTAAGTGGTAAGGATTCTGCCTCCCATGCCATCACTGAGCCAGAGGAAGTCTTTCACCTCCTTAGGTAAGTTTATTCTTTGGTATTTCATTATTTTTGGTGCAACTGTAAATGAGATCGTTTTCTTAGTTTCTCTTCATGCTGCTTCGTTAGTAGTGTATAGAAATGCAATGGATTTCTATAAATTGATTTTGTATCCTGCGACCTTACTCTGAAAACTAGAAAACGCTGATAAAAGAAAGTGAAGACGACACAAATAGGAAAGATATGCCACGCTCATAGACTGGAAGAACAAATATTGTTAAAATGTCCATCCTACCCAAAGCAATCTACAGATTTAATACAATACCTATCAAAATACCAAAAGCATGTTTCACAGAATTACAGCAAACAATCCTAAAATTTGTATGGAACTGAAAGGGCAAAACAATCTTGAAAAAGAAAAACAAAGCCAGAGGTATCACAATCCCAGATTTCAAGGTACACTACAAAGCTGTTCTAATCAAAACAGTATGGTACTGGCACAAAAACAGACATATAGATCGATGGAACAGGATAGAAAGCCCAGGAAAAACCCCCACAATTATATGATCAATAATCTTCAACAAAGGAGGCAAGAATATGCAGTGGCAAAAAATATCTTCAACAAATGGTACTGGGAAAACTGGACAGCAATATGTAGAAGAATAAAACTGGACCACTTTCTTACACCATACACAAAAATAAACTCAAAATGAATTAAAGACCTATATGTGAGACCTGAAACCTTAAAATCCTAGAAGAGAGCACAGGCAGTAGTAGGTCTCTGACACTGACCATAACAGCATTTTTCTAGATCTGTCTCCTGAGGCAAGGGCGACAAAAGCAACAATAAACTATTGGTACTACATCAAAATTAAAAACTTCTGCACAGCCAAAGACATAATCAACAAAACAAAAAACCACCTAATGAATGGGAGAAGATATTTGCAAATATCTATCTGATAAGAGGTTAGTATCCAAAATGCATAAAAAACTTATACAATTCAACACCAAAAAAAATAAATAATAATCATATTAAAAAATAGGCAGATGACACAAATAGACATTTCTCCAAAGAAGACATCTAGATGGCCAACAGACACAAGAAAAGATGCTCAACATCACTCATCATCAGGGAAATGCATATCAAAATCACAATGAGATATCACCTCATGCCTGTCAGAATGGCTAATATCAAAACACAAACAACAGTGCTGGTGAGGGTGTAGAGAAAAAAGAACCCTTGTGAGCTACTGGTGGGAATGCAAACTGGTGCAGCCCCTGAGGAAAAGAGCATGCGGCTTACTCAAAAACTTAAAAATAGAATTACCATGTGACCCAGCAGTTCCACTACTGAGTATTTACCTGAAGAACATGAAAACATTAATTCAGAAAGAGTTATGCACCCCTATGTCTACTGCAGCACTATTTACAAAAGCTAAATTTAGGACGCAGTCCAAGTGTCCACTGATAGATGAATGGATAAAGAAGATATAGAGTGACTGTATGTGTCCGCATATGCACATACATATGCACACATATGCTGGGATATTATTCACCCATAAAAAAGAATGAAATATTGCCATTTTCAACCACATGGATGGATCTAGAGAGTATAATGCTAAGTAATATAAGCCAGAGAAAAACAAATACCATATGATTTTACTCATATGTGTAATTTAAGAAACAAAACAAATGAACAAATGGGAAAAAAAAAAAAAAGAGAGAGAGAAACCAAAAAACAGACTCTTAACTCTAGAGAACAAACTGATGGTAACCAGAGGGAAGGAGGGTGGGGGATGCGTGAAAGAGGTGAAGGGGACTAAGCGAACACTTATCTTGATGAGCCCTGAGTAATATATAGAATTGCTGAATCACTATATTGTACGCCAAAGACCAATATAACACCATGTTAACTATACTGGAATTAAAATTTAAAAATTAAATTAAAAATAAATAAAGTTATAGGAGTTAAAAATCGATACACCAGGAATATAAGAATAAACATAAGTCAATAACAATGTTCAGAAACCTATCCTAGTAGGTAAGAATTTAACAGGAGAAAAGCGGCATTACAACTCAATGGAGAGGAATTAATAAATCAAGCAAATGGAATTAAAGATACTAATATCACCTATCAAATATAAACTGGCAAAATGGAGAAGAAACAAGACCACTAAAGCACTGCTGGTAACAGTACACCATGAAACTCTTCTGGAAAGCATTCTGAAAGCATCTGCCAAAAATTCTGCCATCCTCTTGCACTTCCTTTTTGCTTCTTTATTTTCTAAACTTTCTATAAAGTATTAATGTCATAATGGAAATATACTAAAATAATTTTTAAAACTCTTTACCTGATTTGACCTAATAATTCTACGTAAGATTATTTCAAACCACTCCTTAGATTCAAGAATATCTGTTAAGAACTTACACTATAGAAAGTAACATGTTGGAGTGCCTGTCTGGCTCAGTAGGGAGAGCATGCGGCTCTTAATCTCAGGGTCATGAGTTCGAGCCTCATGCTGGTTGTACAGACTACTTAATGTTAATACATTTTAAAAAATTCTTAAAGTAATATGTTAAATGTCAGGAAGAATTTTAGAAAAAAAATTTTAAGTTTATTTATTTTTGAGACAGAGAAAGTGAGCAAGGGAGGGGCAGAGAGAGAGGGAGAGAGTGAATCCTAAGCAGGCTCCACACTGTCAGCACAGAACCCAATGCAGGACTCAAATTCATGAACTGTGAGATCATTACCTGAACCAAAATCCACAGTCAGATGCTTAAGCGACCGAACCACCCAGGTGCCCTCAGAAAGAATTTAAAAGTAGGAAAAGTCCTGTCCTGAGTAAGTGCCAGCCTTCATGGATTGTATAGTATTGTAGACAGGAGAAAGATTAAACAAATAATTACAGTAATAATAAAAAGGAAAATATAGGTGGTTCAAGACTTTTCTAACAGACGTCTTAATCAAGGCTTTCCTTAGATATTTAGGCCCAGACAATGTGAGTGGAAGCCACTGAAAGGGTTAGAACAGGGAAGTGACCAGACAAGAATAGTGCTGAACAAAATCACTCCTGTTCTGGTGGGGAATGAACAAAGATAGGGAGGAGATCAGTTAGGAAGGGAAAAAATGCAGAGATTTGCAAGAAAGTCCTAAGTTACTGGGGACATAAAATATATAAGCAGCAATCATCATGATGATGATGATGATGATGATGATGACAGCAAC